CTTTTCTTACATATTTTATTTTTAGGTTGATTTTTTGTATCCCTGCTGTAAGAAATATAGCTAGTGACAGCTAGTCTATAACTTTGGCAGAAACATTTTTTAGGGATGGTCAAGTCCCTTTTTAGCTCAGCTAAGGCAGGACCACCGTGATTACTATGTGATACAGTATAACCAGTAGCATGCAGTCATATTTTGATTGGTTGTATATAAGCAAATTATGGCGCAACACTATGTAATGGCAAAGCTTCAATATATCTGTTCAACTATATTTTAAGCGCTAATTAAATTAACTATACAGTAATTGCAAACAGACAATGACCATCAGCATACCTTGGTTCCCATGAGAAAATTAGGTACAATTAACTGATTTGACAAGTAATCATGAATGATCAAAAATAGTTTTATTTACCCTTTGATCAAGTCCTCATTTTATGAATAGAACAACATGCATGCATGATGTCAATAGCTTTAGCAACCCTTACATGCATGACAAGCACTTTTCTTGGCAATAAAATCTATATAAACCAAGTAATATATAATTTTATGTAATGAAGTATGTATAGTGTAATTTGCCAGTTTTGCTTTAATTAAGCCTAATTTACTTGCATGTAGAATATGAATTTCTGATTTAAATCTGCGATATTTTTTAATTCCACTCAACTCCAAGTCCAATATGGATGTTGCCACAATTATTACATATGACATGGTATAAAAGTTGATGGGACTGAATGTGTGAGACTATAAGTTCAATGTATTTAAAGTGTGGTTCATGTTTTTAATTGTCAGAGTAATGCATGTAAATCCATGTTATACTCTGTTATATTTCCACAGGATGTATAGATCTTTATTATTTACATTTGTAAAGCTTGTTGTTATTTTAATTAATTGGCAATTTCCAATATTATCAGTTACTGAATGTACAACAAACTGGATTTTAACCACTGATGGACATGGCTCCAATTCTATGTTTAAAAGCACTTGTTTGCTGATATTTAAAATTTAGTAGGGCCAATTAAAGCTTAGCTCTCGCACAAAAGATTATTGATTGGTTACTTTTAAACTCAGTGCTTTGTGATCGACACTTACTAATTTTATCGAAACAATTGATATATTATGCCTTGCTTTGTGACTTGACCCATAATTTCAATTCCTGGAACCTGCTTGACAGAAAATTTGGAGCAGAACTCCAAAATTATATTTTTATGCATATGAGCTGTGAACTGCATGTATAAGCATAGAGGGTTTTGAGGGGTGGTGAAACATATTTTATTTTAAGGGCTACATTAAAAAATGTAGTCCACATAGTCTATGCTTCTGTTTTAAGGTACAGAGAGACTTACATCAAGGTTTATCATGACCAAAAACAAAATTGGTCCAAGCTTAGTTCCCAGGGGTACGCCTGCTTTCATTGGCAACCAATCCGAGATTTCTCCCCCGAGTTTAACGCGATGTCGGCGATTAGTGAGACTGAGTTAATAATCCAAGGTAACAGAGACGATCTAACACTTATGCCTAACAGCTTTGATATTATGAAATTATGCCCTACACGGTCGAACGCCTTTGCGAAAATAACTGTTTATGGTTGATCTTGTCTTTAATATCAGTTATCATTCACCTGACCACAAAATCTTCAAAAACTTTAGACAATTAAACAAGATGTCAGTGAGATGGGTCTAGTGTCACCTTCACCGGTAGGAGATTGTGATTTTGGAATGGTATAATGTCTGAATCTTTCCATATTGCAAGAACAATTCCAGATGTGAGTGATGCATTGAAGATGGTTAATTGTGACAGGCTCGGCTAGTTCGTAGGTAAACTCTTTTAGGATACGGCAAAGAACGTTATCTGGACAGTAGGGTTTAAAGGGCTTAACTGCTGAAAGTTTTTGAGACACTTCGTGCGGTTGGACAGTTGGGACGGGTTCTTTGTTTGGAAGAAATGCTGAAAGTGCAGTCAAGTGGTGGAATGTCAATATTCACCGATGCACAGAACACAATCAAAACATTAACTAATTCTGATTGATCAAGGGTTCTTCCATCTTGTTCAAGCCAAAAGGAGTGATTCTTTTCGGATTTTCCTCCCATTTTATTCACAATTTTCCACCACATGCGACAGTCATTCTTCTTAAATGCTGCACCTTTGTTTTATAATACGATATTTTCCTCGCATTGATCTTTTGCTGAACCTTATACTTCAGTGATCTCCATAAGGTTGTGTTGTGGCTATGAAACGCCTTCTGTCGGTCTTTGATAAGTTGTTTTATTGCGGACGTTATCCATGGTTTATCGTTGTGATGACGTTTTAGATTCTTTTGAGGGAAGATTTGATCGATACTTTCTGTTAACTAGTTTGTAAAAGAAACCGCTAGACAATCAACAGTAGGGTTGGGAACAAGGTCACAAAACCAATTGTGTGTACTAATCCATCTACCAAAAGCATCTATCCCGGATTTAGGGTAGCGGCGTACTGAAGTTTTGACAGATTTTACTTGTCTGTCGTGGTTAGAAATGCTATCGGCGGAAGGTAGCCATTGTAGGATATTGTGGTCACTAGATCCTAATGGAGCGAGAACTTTAAGGCAATCATATATATAATTTATGCGTATTTCTAAGGATTAGATCTAGTATTGCTGATTCCCTGGTTGGTTGGTCAACAACTTGTTTAAGATTTTGAGTGGTAGTTAAAGTGATTGCGAGCTCTTCCAAAACCAACTTTATTGTTGAGACGGTCTTGAAATCCCAAGTGTTGACATAACCACCTCTGACAATTTTCATTCAAATTTTCTTCAGATACTCTCAACCATGTTTTTTCGTATATGTAGAAGTAGCCTCTGTAGCCGCTTGATAATCCAATTTGAAGTCCTGAAACTAGACGAATAAATTACAAAATTTATCATCTGAAAACGAACCAGTGTTGTCAGGGAATTTTAACGTCAAATTTAAGTGAATTGTTTAAGAAATAGTAAACATTTTCCGTGTTTCTATACAGTATAGAAACACGCGTGGGAGTTTGGGAGAACGAGAAATAATCAGTGGGAAAACGAGCTCGTAGGGCGACGTTCCAAAATTTTTCGAGTTTGTCACATGCAAATATAATAAGTGAAAATGGTTTTTAAATTATATTGGAATGAGTAATGTCTTTATTTACCCTCACAAATCAGATGATAGTGAAGTTGTGCACTTTACCTGTCGTTGTCATGGGGCTTGTATAGTTATCCACACAAGTGTACTCGGTATAAAGTTCTTTCTTTGTGTTAGAACACAGGTTCTGGGCTCTGCTGTTAAATGTACCGCTATTGTCGAAGTTGCCATAGAAATTATGCTTTGTCAGCCTTTGTGGACCACCATGCGTTGTTTTGGGGAACAATTAACCTGAAACCTGAACCTGAAATCGAGTTTCAGAGAAAAATACAAATAATTTTTCGTGCTGCATATTTCTTGATCAAACTAGATCGAATTATCAATCAAATAGACATAACAGAAATAGACCTTTTCATCGACGGGCATAAATGATACATGCACATAATAATTTAAAACTGGGGAGCTATAAGTTGCATACCTTTTATTATTTATTTACCAAGAGTAAACGTCTGGCCAGATCTGTCGCAATATGTTCTTCTAAACAGATCTTCTCCAGAAAGCTCAGCGCATCTCCCGTCATTGTAAAAGTATAAAGATCCAGCGTCCGTTTGTTTCAAATTTTGACTACTGAGTTTTTTGACTGTATTTTGCTCTTCTTGATATTAATATATATATATATCGCTAAACGATTCCTATATTTGGTAGCTATGGTAGAGTGCAACGCTCCCCCCGACTCGATATGCCACAATATTTCTGTAGCGTTGTAACGAAACTGTGCTTTATCATCCAAGCAATTGTCAGTCATTATAACCCAGTAAGGAAGGGCATGACTAGGTTCATTGTATGTATATATATATATATATTATATATATATATATATATATATATATTATATATTATATATATATATATATATCTTTATATATATATATATATATATATATATATATATATATATATATCTTTATATATATATATATATATATATATATATATATATATATATATATATATATATATATATTCTCTGTAGTTATACACTTTTTGGGCGTGCGACTTTCCCGCATGAAGAAACTTTCACAATTTAAAAACAAAACTGAGACGTCAATGGTGAGAGAGTAACTCGCACTACTTCGAATTTGATCTCAGCATGCATGCTAATGATGCATGCATTTTCCACCACACGCAAAGTTAGTTATTATCCAAGAAATTAAATAAAAGTTGAATGAAATTAAATGAAATCAAATGAAGTGTGAAGCAAGCAACCCATACTGATAACGTTTGAAAAATACAGTCGTTGATTTGGTTGCATTACTTTATCACCATCAGTTGATCAAGATAATGGAAGCAACTGCAATTGAAAAATGTGTAACACGAAATCGAGGTTCAAACGTTTCGCCTGGATGTCGGCCACTCGTGCCAAAATCGACTTCGTAATTTACTGCCAAGTTTAACTATTCTAGAATGATTATATTAGTATGTCATGCATGATATTCGTTGTTTTCAGCACAATTGTTCTACCGTTTTGACACTTGCTGTCACGTCATACTTTCTGTCGCAGTCAGGAATTGAAACAACTGGTTGCTATTTCGTTCGAACGAAATCCGAGGGATTACGAACTCCTGTCGAAAACGTTCATGCCTTTGCGTGTTTTTTGCACTTTTTTTCATGCATCTATGTAAAATGCCCGCAAAGGATTGTAGGTAAATAAGTATGCCGCCTTGCTTTTCTCTTAAGGCGAATTTGCCATGCAGCTGAGAATAACTCAAATGTTATGACCAGTTTTTGATATTTGAAGAAGGTTAAATTTAAGTTATCCGTCGGGCCTGCATGATGAGTGCAAAGCACTGAGATGTTTACGTTAACAAAACTGCAAAATTTCTTGGAACGAAAAGTTTGAAATATCACCATTTACTGGAAAACCAACTAGGTATGGTCGCTACAATACATTACGATTTTGTAATTTGCCCTCATTGAGCTCGAGTAGAAGCGAGGTATGACTGATATTATCGACCTTGGCTATAAGTTTATTACTTGTATAACTAACAGTTTGAATTTAACTTCCTTGATGAAACGAAAGTTGGTCGGGGTGGAATTTTCTGGTGCAAATCCTCCTTAATATGGTACCGAACATCATCGCTGGTAGAGGGTTGCAATGCCTGGTAAACGTTTGCTGGTTCTTTGTTTTCTTTCAACGACATGTAATCCGATGAATCTTGTCCTTTGTCTGTCCCACGTACACCATCGTTTCGCTCAATTTCTTCAATAACATCATCTGTAGTTTCGTATACTCTCTCATCATTTATGGGCGCATCTGGTTCTTGATCATACTTAATTGCCCCTTTGCGGGTTTCCGGACCTAAGTTTAGAATCGAACATACAAAATTAAGCCCAAGAAATGTTGCCTTTTGATAAGCTCGGATTTGGTTTAAAGAACTCAACACCTACCGGAATCCGTCATCTGGGTCGTTTCATGGCCTTCGTTATCTTTTCTTTTGTTATTTTGGATCAGACGACGTTGATAAACAATAATACCCAGTGAGACCAGAAAACATAAAGACAAAATAACCAGCGGTATGAGAAGTTCAACACGTGTGTCATCCTCGTTGGTTTTTTGAGAATTTTTCCTCTTCAAGCCGTCTACAAAACACGATCAATTGGTTAAGGTTTTTTAGCACTTCGTTCCATGAAGGAAACATGAATAAAATTTCTTTCATCACAACAAAACTCACAGGCTCTATAAATACAATAGAAAAGAGCATTTCCCTTGCTCGCGTGTCTTGCTTTGCAAACACCCTAGTTTTTGATCTTGCGCCAGCTTTGGTAAACTTGAGCGAAGTTTTAACGAATTTTAATTCATAAAGGCCTGAATCAGGGTGATATGGCGTGAGGGGGATGAAATTACCTTCATCTTTGTTGAAAGTCATTGGCGCACTCCAAAATGACCAGAATCGTTTCTAAAAGAAAACTTACAGAAGTTTAAATATAATTCAGTGACTGGTGATAGTGAGATCACGGCGGTTGCCAGGATTTTGATAAGATTAACATTTCTGTTTGTCCTTTGTTCAAAGCCCTGTCCACCTTCAGTGATGAAAAGATGATAGGTTGATATGTTCGACGACTCACCCCAGATTTGTCTTCATTCATTTGGGCTAATCTGTAAGTCGCATCTGGTTTAAGTTCATAAACCTCATCGGCATCTCTTTCTCTACACTTTTTCTTCTCCGACGACTTTCGAAGCTGGATTTCTATCGGATTTGAACTTTTAAAGTCACTTATATTATATTCTTTCGCAACGAATGCGCCATTTTCACCAGCAGCCTCGTCGTGACCTTTTAGCTCCACATCTTCTGGTGCAGGGCTTTGGGCTGAGGCTGGCGGAAGCCGAAGGACTACCAATGAAACAGTTCTGAGAAAAAGAGCGAGTACATAAATCAATTGAATTCTACCGAGACAGTGAATAATGCCACTGTTTAGAGATTGATAATCCTCTTATTCCTAGCTTCACTGAGTACAAACCAAAAACAGGACCTACCTTATGTTTTCGACTTTTGGCTTTTTCAGTATAACTGTGTAAGTACTATCATTATTCTTTTGAGGGGCCATAGGTTCTGAAATGGGAAAGACAATAATGTGAACAATGAGTCATCATATCATTTTAATGTGGTGATAATTGGTTTCTTATTAAGGTAAACATGTGAATCCAAAGAGATTCGAGGAATTTACGCCTGTATTCAAAAAACTCACTCACACTCACTCAGTGTGACATAGAGATTGTGTTATTACTTATGAATTAGATAGTCTTTTAAATGGTCTTTAACTAATGGTAAGATTTAAGATAAAATTTTCAAACGTTGCATTCAGTTATTATATACAGGTCAGCTGAAAAAGGCGAGCGCGTGGGGGTGCTTGGGGTGGTTTTTTGTGAAAGCAAAAAAATGTTATATATTTTACTATTAAAGCGCCTGGCTAAGAGGCAGCTTTCAATTGAGTGCAAATATTCCGCTCAATGAGTTCGACTGTGAGTGAGTGCATAGACGTTATGAACAGTGGCGTAGCCAGCCTGACGATTTTGTCCCGCTATGTAAATTTCGAGCTATTATAATTACTCATGTCTTTAAAAATCTATTGTTTTCACAGTCAGTGAACACCAAAGTATTAGCATAGCGGGAAAAATCGACAGGCTGCCTACGCTACTGGTTATGAACTGTATTTTTGATATTGTTTATTATACCCGAATGAGAAAACCAGGTTATTTTTCCCAATCCACTTTTTCCAGTTTCAGTTTCAAGGCCAATTTCAAACGTGTACTTCGTATCATAATCAACATTAACTGTGACTGATTTTTCGTTCGTCGATATCTCCACTGGCTCCTTTTTTGATCCAACTGTTGCCGCTACCAGCAGTGCATAGTACCTCTTGACAGTCTGGCCAGTACGCAGTGATATTGACCAGAATATCTTGTACTTGCCTTTGTCGATTGATTTAGCATTTAAGTAAAATGGAGCTGGAAATGATAGAGAAGATAAAGGATTATTAAGCTGGATGGCGCCATACCCACTGGATAGTGTTTTTCTTAATCGCTCCATAATTACCCGTTGTTTGGCATAACTTTGATTTTATTTTGAAAAATAACTGATGTCCATTGTGTCAAATCTTTTGGGAGCGATAGTATATGCATGTCAGCGTTAAGTTCACTGCTGACACTGATGCATATTATTGCTCCCATGCATAAGATTTTATTTAGTAATATGGACTACGTACCTATTATAATATTATTATTGTCTAACTATCCAACAGCTTACCTGGAGGTTTTGCAGAAGCCTTAACACTTTTGCTCCAAGCCGTCGAATAGTACTGATCATAGTACTGAATGTTATATTTAAGAGAAATAAATATCAATTCAATAAAGAAATATAAAGATACACACTGTGATTGCTTTTCCACAAAACGTACCCCGCTTTCAAAATATCTTAGGAACGCGACATATCTTGTGTTGTTTCTTAACGGTTGGTTCAAATATTTTTCTGTTTTAGAATTATATTCTTTGCCATCGCCGATCACAAACATCTTGGGTAAAACATCAGCTTTCAAATAGGCAGTGATATAAGGTTTGTCATAGCTTCTAGACCAGTAAGATCTGAGGGAGTTGGTTTTGATGTTTTCAACCGGTGTCCTTTCTCCTGAGTCCATTTTTACAATGATGATTACACTTCTACAAAAAAGAGAGGACGACTAGAATTGTTAAACTTAATTTGAGTTTCAATATCAAACTATTAACTAGGGAGCAGCGTGGCAGCGTCTGCAAACAACTTAGCATCAAATGCGGTATAAAAACTGCCTAAAATAGACAAAACACTTCTCGAAGTTTCGACCTGAGGGCCGGTCGTATAAAAACGTAGTTAACTTTAACTATGATTAGCGCTAATCACTGTAGTTAAATCCTTAACTATGATTAGTTAACTACACGACTTAACTGCGTTGCACAAAACGTAGTTGGATGATTAACTAATCACGTAGTTAACTTGCGTGGAGTTTGCGTGGGGTTGTTAAACAGAGAAATAGCATGAAGTATCATGAAATTATTCACCGCTGTTATTGATTTTAAACAGGACTGCGGACTCGTTTTTACAAAAATTGACAGTATTTTGATCTAAAATATTATTGTAAAAAATGCAATAAAACAAGGAAAATGTTCAAAATAATTCAACGAAAACGGCGCTCTTAATATAAAAAGGTCCCTTTGAGTCAAGATACCGGTTGCAATTGAAGATGGAGACAGCTAATCTTTGCTAGGATCGTAATTTGGCATCGACACGCCTCCCGAAGCAAAAATATACTCCGTTGCTGCCCAAATGATAAAAATGAGAGCATATTGAAAGTTTACAAGCTTTGACGGGGCCTTTTCTGAGTGGATAACGGTTGACAGCCTTGGTATGTGTTGATTGTAATATGCAAGACATTAATACAGCTCTAAAGCGCAATAGATAAGCACCTCTGGGAATTGAAAATGGCTCTTAATCCTTCATTTAAAATGCTAAAAGTCATTTTAGCTGAACTATGGTGCAAACCCGAACAATATAAATATTCTTGCATGTTTAAGTGGTTGCGTTTTTTTGAGACACCCTGTATTACGTGATCCTAGCAGTTGTGTAACCCATCCCGGCTTACAGTCGCACAAACAACAATAGCTTGTGCTTGTTTTGTTTTGTTTCATAACGACTTATTTCAATACCTCAAATCATCTCACGCTTCGTGACCCGTGACAGGTATAAAAAGCCCCTAACTGCGTGTAAACTTACTTGATATAATCTGCTTGTTTCTCAATGTTTATCCTATAGAGTTGAGGAGGTATCTTCGAAAAGTTTAACAGGCCCTATGAAAATGTTAATATTAATGATATACATTTAATATATAGAAAGCAGGCAACATGCATTAATTGCTATGAGAAAGTGCGTATTAACTAGGTTTTCAAACTGTCGGACCTTGCATGTATATCCATGCAGCAATTGCTTGAAGATTCCTATCTTTTTCCTATCAGAGGTCAGTCGTATATACAGTAACTCTAGGCAGTTCAATAATCGAAGTTACAGTAACACTTGACCATTCTGAATGGTCATGAAGTTCCGTCACTGGGTATAATAGTTGAATCTTGTCACTATTGTTTTTTACAACCAGCCCAGGCGCGCGATTGTGATTACGGATCAGATTACTTTAACTATCAGTTGCCTGAGAACACTTTTAACTGCTTCAATTTAATATAGATATAGATACGCAACATTGCTATGGGAGAACGCGTGTAACTAGATTTTCAAACTGTCTGACCTTGCATACCCATGCAGCAATTGCTTGAAGATTCCTATTTTTTACCTATCAGAGGTCAGTCGTATAAAACTCTTAACAACACATTTTGGACAGTTTAATCGAAATTACAGTATAACTCTAGATTGTTCTGAATCGTCATGACGTTCCGTCACTGAGTATAATAGTTAAAACTATAGTGCCACAATTGTTTTTTTACAACCAGCCCAGGCGCGCGATTGTGATTACGGATCAGCGAACACTTTAACTATCAGTTGCCTAAAAACCCTTAACTGCATGCTTCGAATTCCTATTAAAAATCTGGCCTTTACCTCCATCTGTTATTCCACTGACTGCTGTGCTTTTCGGGCCAACACCGCCAACTGTAGCAGCCGAGACTGTCACGAAATACCTAGTAGAAGATTGAAGTCCATTTATAGTATATTTATACGACCATGCCGTGGTGGCGAATGACGTGACGGAAATGCATGTCAGACTATTTTTATTTTCATGAATATAACGGCAAACTTTGAATCCAGTCAGCTTCCCAGCATTCCATGAACTTTTACGAGGAGCCGTCCAGGTTATATTCAATGAGGTTTGACTACGGGCTGTGAGTTTAACAGAATAAGGGCGTTCACTGGGAGCTGAAACAGAGATAACAATATAGGCACAGAATAGACATTATACCAGAAGCCTCGCTTTTGCATTAGGCAATTTTTTGAGAGTGTGACGCCACCTAACGCAAGCCAAATACGAGAGCCATGATGGCGCTTTGTATCCAATTTGTGTCTTGCTCACGCCAACCTAGTGTGTGCAGCTAGGAACTTTTTCATAGGGGTACAAAGTTCCTGCACAAACCAGGATGGCGTAGAATTCCGTAGAATGACGCGCGCGCTTCTTAAAAATTTCGGACACGAAAACATTAGCAAAATGCAAAGATTGAGACTTCTGGTATAATTTCTATTCTGTAATATATAGGTCTGGTGTCACACAAAGTTTGATTGGTTCCGCATTCGGCGTCAAAGGCTTTCCGCGTTTGACGTCATTACGAGAAAGGTTTATTATTGCATGCTTTATTGCATTAATCTTAGATTTAAGGATTTACGTCCAGTATATATGTGCATTAGGGATTATAGTTAGATTTAGATAAGAAGTTTAGTTAGATTAAAAATGCAAGGTTTGAAACTGAAAATTCAGCGCTAAACTCGCGACCCGTTTCTTTAAACCAAAATAAAAACTAGGGGTTTAAAGGGTCTTAATTTCGAGTGGAATTATACACACTTCAAATTGCATTGCACCGGCATCGCAAAAGCGTACGTATAGGTCAGTTTCCTGCCGGAGGACCTATAGTTGACTTATTTTTCCTTCAACTGTTTCTGGCTTGAATTTGAAGCGTGTATAATACTGTAATATAGGAAACATGATACACGTAATATGCACAATGAACAATGCACAATTAGTTATTGAAAAGGGAAATCATGTAGCGATATAGCACAGTATGATTAAGCACAAAACAGTTAGTTGATACAGGAGCACGAGAAGAGCACATCTCAAGCACCGAAGCACGAATAAAGAGTTATAAATATATGTGTGTGTTCTGTGAGTATTTGTAAAGAGCTGTCTCCCCAAACGACCCGACGATCCCGGACGTTAGAAGAGCCTAAACGAAGCCACACAAAAAGGGTCGTTTTACAATACCACAAGAAATTAAAACCCTTTCAACCTCCAAAATTTACCTACATCGAGTAAAGTGCCAAAAATCATAAATAAATTTCATTTTTGAATTGGTGTATTCTGCTATGTTTATGATTACCTGCTTCTTTTGTCCTAAATATTTTGTATACTACTCCGCTTCTCGGAATGTAATTGTCTACGGCTTCAATTCCAACTTGATAATCAGTATATGGCTGGAGACTATTGATATTATACTCATTTTCTCGTGGAACGGATACGAGATACCTTCCGACCAAATATATTTTGATTCTTTTTATATAACTTGAACTGGAGGAAGTTGGTAATTTCCAAGTTACTAGTGCTGAATTCTTGGAAGGATTAATTCGAACATCGTTCACGGAAGCTGGTCGCTGAACTAAATTCGGATGAAAAAAAACACTCAGGATACCATTCTATATTTTCACTCAGTGTTTCAAAATTTCCACTGCACATCTTTTAATAAGAAAGTGGCTACATCAAAACAAATCACAGATATTTATACCAAGTGTTTCGACATGAACATATAAACTCACCCACTCCACAGAGTTCTATTCTAAGACAAAAGTCTGTGTTTCCAGTTGATTCTATCTTAATATATCTCACATTATAAATATCAACGTCTGTAGTCGATGCTTGATAACCGTTCTGGTTTCCTGAAATCTTTTATAGAAATTGAATAAAAAATGATAACATTCCGTTAAAGTATGACGATAAACACAAAACAACAATGTTTGCAGTTTGGGCGCCATATCATGTAAAGTTAAAACACCTGCAGGAAATTAACGAGTAGCGAAGACTCTCATATTATTTTATCATCACTTTATTCCTTTAACTATACCTGTACTACACGACTGCTATCCACCAAACTTCCATTATGACTGTATTTCAGTGAATATGATTCACTCCACTTTGTCTGATCTTTATCACCCATGACCACAACTCGTGTTATGTGATATTCTTTTTGAAGGTCGATGGTGAGATATGAGCCAGGCGTCGAGGAACACCAGCCACCTTTAGTAAACCTTGCTTCGTGAAAACTATTACCTCCATTGCCACCAAATATGTTATGAAGAAATTTATTCAAGTTGTTTAGCAACTGATTGTCACAAATCTTACCTGTAGATAGAAATAGATGACATGATCGAATCAAGGATATGCCTTATTAATGTAAAGGTAGCAAAGGGCGTAGTCAGAAGGAGAAAATAGGGTGGTTGTAACCCTCGAGAAGTAAATGTGGAAAAAAATTATAAAAACAAGTAACAATGATGTCGTAAAATTACTGCTTTTCTGCTGAAATGCGAAAGAAATATCCTATATTTTGACTGCAAAACAAATCAGTAGATTTTTGGGCAGGCACCTCGGGTGTTATAAAACATGTCAATCCCAACAATTGGACATACTCACATTCAACAAATGGTATTTTATCAGTTGATGTCGCTGTTTTTGGTTGAAGATAAACACAACATGATGTTTCTCTGGACGTAGTGTTATAACAAACAAAGTCACCAGCTACGATACTCTCACCATTGCGAGCTCTTCCAAAACCAACTTTATTGTTGAGACGGTCTTGAAATCCAAAGTGTTGACATAACCACCTCTCATTGTTTTCATCCAAATCTTCTTCAGATACTCTCAACCATGTTTTTTCGTATATGTAGAGGTAGCCTCTGTAGCCGCTTGATAATCTAATTTGAAGTCCTGAAACTAGACGAATCAATTACAGAATTTATTTGTTTCATTACATTCCGAAAACCAACCAGTGTTTTCGGAATATTTCAACATCAAACTTGAGTGAATCAAACAATAACATGGACATTAGGACAATGATGTGGAACCTCACATATTATATGCCCTTTTCGAGCGATCTTCCTGCATCATAACAACGCTAGCAAGCAAGATTATTTAGATTTATTTAAAAGATGACCTCAAGATGTGGCGAGAGTATTGATTTATTGAAATTATTTATAAATCACAGTATTGGTAAGAGCCATGCATGCAGTGGCATTTTCCGACGTGGGGAATGATTGATGAACAATTTCCCTAAAAAACCTCAGTAATATACTCTTGAACGATCGATGTAAATCGTGAGTTTTGTAAATGTGGGTAGAAAAGGTCTAGTTGATATAAACACAGAGGTTTCGTAGTTGCCAAATTTACATCTCTTAAAAGAAGAATTGCAATGTTTTACACGGCCTTTCAACGGCGAATTTATTCATAGGTATAATAAATAAATATGGTTTAAATCCGTTTAATTATATTGCCATGTCTTCATTTAATTATACCCTCACAAATCAGATGATAGTGAAGTTGTGCACTTTACCTGTCGTTGTTATGGGACTTGTATAGTTATCCACACAAGTGTACTCGGTATAAAGCTCTTCCCTTGTGTTAGAACAGAGGTTTGGCAATAGTAAATTATTGTCAACGACCAGTTCACAAGATCTCTTTCCACCACAAAGAGATTTCAACCTACAACTTGTCACTGCAGTACATTGTGCATCACTGTGGGCTCTGCTGTCAAATGTACCGCTATTGTCGAATTTGCCATAATATGCTTTGTGGATCACCATACGTTGTTTTAGAGAACAATGAACATATTTCATTTTGTCGCCGTACTTTGTCACTGAACCTGAAATCGAGTTTCACAGAAAAATACAAATAATTTTGCATATTTCTTGATCACACAAACTAGATCAAATTATCAATCAAATAGACATAACAGAAATAGACCTTTTCAGCGAGGGGCATAAATTATACATGCACATATGATTTAAAACTGGGGAGCTATAAGTTGCATATCTTTTATTAGTTACTTACCAAAAGTAAACGTCTGGTCAGATGTGTCGCAATATGTTCTTCTATACAGATAATCTCCAGAAAGCTCAGCGCATCTCCCGTCATTGTAAAAGTATAAAGATCCAGCGTCAGTTTGTTTCAAATTTTGACTACTGAGTTTTTGGCTGTTTTTTGCTCTTCTTGATATTGCTATATATATCGCTAAACGATTCTGATATCTGGCTGCTGAGATAGAAAAAAACGATCCCCCCGACTCGATATGCCACAATATTTCTGTATCATTGTAACGAAACTGTGCTTTATCGTCCAAGCAGTTGCCAGTCATTATGACCCAGTAAGGAAGTGCATGACTAGGTTCATTGTATATCAGACTGTCTCTTCGAGTTATACACTTCTTGGGCGCACTACTTTGCCGCATAAAAAAACTTTTGACATCTGTAAGCAAGAAAGGTGGTAAGAAGAATTGAATTATTGAATCCGTTAAAAAATTAAAGTGAAAAAATGTATAAAAAATTAAAACCGTTTTCCACCACGCAAAGTAAGTTATTATGCAAGAAATTAAAAGAAAATGAATTGAAGCAAGCAACGTATGCTGGTAAGAACGTTTGAAAAATACAGTCGTAGATTTTGTTGCATTACTTTATCACCATCAGTTGATCAAGACAATTGGGAAGCAAATGCAATTGAAAAATATGCCCTGGATGTCGGCCACTCGTGCCCAAAACGACTTCATAATTAATATTTTATTGCCAATTTTAACTATTCTAGAATGATGATATTAGTATGTCATGCATGATAATGACATATTCGTTGCTTTCGGCACAATTGTTCTACCGCGTTTTGACACTTGCTGTCGCGTCATACTTTCTGTTGCTGTCAGGAGTTGAAACAAATGGTTGCTATTTAGTTCGAACGAAATCCGAGGGATTACGAACTCCTGTCGAAAACGTTCATGTGTTTTTTGCACTTCTTTTCATGCATCTATGTAAGATGCACGCAAAGGATTGTAGGTAAATAAGCATGTTGCCTTGCTTTTCTCTTAAGGCGAATTTGCCATACAACTGAAAATAACTCAAATGTTATGACCAGTTTTTGATATTTGGAGAAGAATAAAATTTAGGTTATCCGTCAGTGAAAATCGAAACCGCGTGAATTCTCAGATATATCTGTTTGCCATGATCGCTGCACGGCCCTTGCGCGTAAAACGGCTTTAAAAGATCTGTTACCTTAGTTGAGACGTTGAGCAATCTAGACTAACTGCTAAGCGTGTAATTAACACTTAGTTTTTTTGGGGGGGGGTTGTAAAACTCGGGCCTGCATGATGAGTGCAGAGCAAGATTGTTTACGTTAACAAAACTGCAAAATTTCTTGGAACGAAAAGTTTAAATATCATGATTGGAAAACCACTAGATATGGTCGCTACAATACATTACGATTTTGTAATTTTCCCTCATTGAACTCGAATAGAAGCGAGGTATCACTGATATTATCAACCTTGGCTATAAGTTTAATAGTTGTATAACTAACAGTTTGAATTTAACTTCCTTGATGAAACGAAAGTTGGCCGGGGTGGAATTTTATCAATCTAATGAAATTTTTCGCTTAATTTGTTTGCATTGCATGTGGGAAGTCTCTGAGGCGAATCCATATAAACATGGCCAGAAAATTCGGACATAATTAACATTCTACTTCCGCCTAAATTTGCATATGGTGTCAAAATAAAGCTTCGTGAGTTTATAGTAAACTGTAATGTGCACAGTACTAAACGCTAAAAATACACCTTTAGGTAGGTCAATTATAATTTGCCTTAATTACTCGTTGCAGAGCAAGTTAATCTTAATATTTTTATATAGTATTTCAAAATATTTTATCAGTATTCGTCCTGCATTTTCAAAAAAAAGTTTGATTATTTATCACGTTGAATACCATATAAAACAAAAACCGTAATAGCGTAGAAATAAAATAAAAATGCAGAGCCAACATAAACCTTTACCAGCAAAATATTACCTCAGGATCTTTAATATGACACGAATTACAAGAAACAACCAGGGCAAATTGCAAAGATGCAATGATTTTCTTAAATTTTGCGAAATTTAAGAATGCGCAATATAATTTATAGTTCTGCAAACGAATAATATTTGAACAGATATGCAAATTTGCTACGGCAATCTGCATATTCGATGTCCGCAATTTCTGGCCATGAGATAAAAATTGAAAAGCGAAAAATTTGCCTCGTGGAAATCTGCCTTGAATTAAGCCGCTTCAACAAAAGTAGATGCATTTTACAGGATTTTCAACGAGATAGTAAAATATTTTACCTTCAAACACCAATAGCGACATACCACAGAATATGAACAATGTATAAAATAGCAAAGACATATCGTTGCTGAGTTGTTATTTAGCACATCAATATCGTTATGCGAGGAGTGAAGATGAAAATTTGAAACAGCGAGTGACTCTCAAGTGTCCGTATTGGACTGAATAAACTTACGAAAACAGGAAATGCTGTGTCTATCTTATCCTGATAACAATCTATCTATGATATCAATATCAATATATATCAATTTATCTATGATAAATTAAAAATTTTTTTGTATTTCAGGAAGAATAGTTTTTATTTACTAATAGGAATATGCTAAAGTTTATTTTGATAAAGAAAGCGATGAGTATTTTGTTAAAGATCTTGGAAGTCAAAGTGGAACATTTATTAATGGAACCAGAATTAGTGAAATATGCATGGTACTTATGTTCTTTATTATATGTTACAACGCCAAACAAGGAGGAATTTCGTTTTGAACAAATCTGCATGTTTGTTCATTTTTTTCAGGCAGAGCCAATCAGAATCCTAAATATTTCATACCGGAAGTAAGTAGTCAAGATTTATGCATTCTGATTGGCTTAGTGAAAATGTAAACGAGTAATATGCTGAGAGGTCTAAAACAAAATATCCCCTTGTTCAACGACCATTGTTTTTATTACCCGCCCTGTATATTTATTGCACATTTAACAAATATACAATGAGCTCGGTTTGTATAAGAGATGATGAAGATATGACGAGGGCAAATGGTATGATTTTTTTAATAATATATATAAACTTCATAATGAAAAAAGAAACAAACTTTTATTAAATTCTCGTCACAAATCGTCACCATATCACCACTATTGACAGCCGAGTTAAAATACGTGACAGCAAAAGACCCTTTTTTTAAAATAAGGTATATGTTCAAAAACGTTTTGTTTGAATTTTTGACTGTAATCCGTACTTCTTGTATGTTTAGAGTAAACAAGAAAGTGAAGGACATAAATTAAGTCATGGAGAGCAGTTAAAGATTGGTTCAACAACATTTTTATTACATATTCATCCTGGTAGATTAACATGTGACGAATGTGAACCAGGCCAAGTACAAGCACAGTTGAAGGCAAAAGAGTCTGAAGACGAAGGTGAGAACTGTAAATATATATATAGGGATGTATATCTCACAAATATAATTGGGATGCATCACATATTTTCCTTGAAAAGGAATTGTGTTTAAATGATTTAGGCTATGTGGAACGGTAACGTTTTCGAGCGTTTTCACATTCGTTTCACGCGAAAACGATTTCAAACACTGTCAATTTACAATAGAAGTTGAAGCTAATTGGATCGTGTGGACAGGGCGTCTAAACAAAAAATAGACAAAAACGATTTGGAAAACGCTCGGTTGCACATATATAGCTTTAAACATGGCCTTAAAAATGTTCAGCAGCATTAATTTAAAACCAGGGAGTCTATTTTTTGCATAAAGACTCGTATATGCTGGGTACTTGCAACACCGCGGAAAAATGTCTGCGCACGCGTCAACTCTGCCTGTAAGTGAGATTAAAAATAAAAAAAGCGGTTCCGAACGTTTCCGAAGGCTAAAAATGGCGGCAAAAAGGAGTGATTTCATTCGTGTCTTCAAATCCATATTTCCAGGGCATAAATAAACACTGCATTACAGAAACTAAGAGAAAAAACGTCCAGAGAGTCCTAGAAGTGGCGTCCTACAAAAACACCTGTAAAAGGTGACTGTTAACAAATTTTTCGTCTCAAACATTTTGTTTATCAAATAAGCAACGACAGTTTCCGAACTATTAATTGAGACACATTTTATTAAAAAAAATATGTCGCCAGATACGAGACGTTTGCGTGTTCTCAATGATTGAAAATTAAGATGTATTTTACAATTTAAATAGATTAGAATGCTTAACTTTCCACGGGTTTTCTTAACTTTTAGGTTTAAACTTTTGTTTTCGAAAAATATTCTAAAGCCACCCCGTAAAAAAAGGAAAATTTACCGTGAATTCCAGTTCGTTCGATACTCTACATGCTAGAAGGCTTTTAATTTATGTTCTGTCTGGCCGTCTTGTATATTTTTGCCTTTTCTTAACTTATATTTTATCAAATAATGGGCATGTTTTGTTCCAAAAGTTGATATTTAGATTTACCATCATATTTTGATATTTCAGCGCGTGCGCAGACATTTTTCCGCGGTGTTGGTACTTGCTCCCAGGATTTTAGGGCTGTCGATAATGTCCAATCACGTGCACCGTGTGAGTGTGACCTAAATGATTTAGCCAATCACATGTCTTTTCTAATTGGTATTCAGGATCACAAAGACTTATGTTTGCATTGTTCAACCTACGGTGTAGTGATCTACACAGCAAGGCTTGCCTACCCTGCATGTATACCGTATTGTTGGTCGGATAGGAATTAAGAGTGGAAAGAAATTGCAATAAACAGTTTTTTTCAGTGTGCTGTATTTATTACTTTTGTGCAGTTCAGATTACGCGCGTTGTGAGCTCAAGAAGTGATGGAAAATCAGAGGCTTTGAGAAAGAAAGAGTTAAAGAGATTAAAGAAAGATACATGCTTGAGGTGAGGAAACGACAGCTTTCTCTTCGTTTCATACAAAATTGCCTTGTTTTTTTTGATATTTCGCGAGCAGAACAGGAAAATAGCCCAAACACAAGAAAAATTTGAATGATTTTTGTACTATCATTTATAAAGACTGCTTTCTAGTTACGCGTTTTTCATACGCACGTACACGCACGTAAAAGTCTAAATCCTTATATATGTTATCTTTGAAAGGACTAAGTAAATAAATCGAAAGAACTTAGTTTTCCGCATGTTTTAGTATGCACTTGTAGACCTAGATGTTAAATAATAAACATTTAGAGGCATTTATAATTTTTCGTGCGTGTATACCTGCGTATAAAGAACGTGTAGCTGGAAAGCAGCCCTAAGTCTATAAACTCTGGAATACGTACGTGTCGCGTTTTTGTAGAATAGCGAACACGATCGAAGTAAACTCTGAGATTGCCTCAAACAATGCTGGGAAATACAAAGACAGAGCTGAAACCAGGCGAGTTGATTTTTACCCAAATACAGTTAATTGAATAATTGAAGTAGTCTTTATTATATCTCTGAAACATTAAACCTTCCTCAGCACAGGAGATGATGAGTACCAGGGGTCGGTTGTTCGAAAGCCTTTTAGCTTAAACGGTGCATGGATATAAGGAGTCCGAGTTTGAACAGTTTCATGTGAACAGGTGAAATTCGTTGCCTTTTGAATTTTTCAGTTTGCTCAATACTAAACAGGATTTATTGTTTATCCATATTGTTTATCCTTATTGTTTATCCATATTGTTTATCCTTATTGTTTATCCATATTGTTTATCCTTTTTGTTTATCCATATTGCTTATCCTTATTGTTTATTCATATTGTTTATTCTTGTAGAACCATACATATTCTTGTAGAACAATACATGCATCGTTAACATCTTCATGAAGATGAATCAGAATTTATTTGAAATACACAGTTTCGATAGACCTTTCCCCTTTTAGCTTTCAAGCGCGCAATGCGCGACGGTAGTTGATTATCAAGGTCAATTTGAGTTGTGATTTCGCCATGTTGAGAAGCGATTTAGTTTAACAAAGAACCAAAAAGAATCAGCAAAGTTTTCTTAGAAAAAAATTGCTTCTATAAACAGAGAGGAATCGCGACTCATAATCAACTACCGTCACGCATTGCGCGCTTGAAAGCTGTGGGAGAAAGGTCTATTAATATTTTGGTGCATTTTAATATGCATTTATTATTCGGATTAACTTTCATTCTATATATTTGCTGAAATTATCAGCCGAAAAGGATATAGCGCTGTAATATGCACAATCTTCCAGCATTTGTCCGGTTGTTGACCACAGCTTGTCGCCTGCTTCAATTGCTTTATTCATCACGACAATGGCTTCTTCAAAGCGCCCTTTGTCACACAAAAAGTTGGCATACATGATATTTTTATGAATACTACTCTTTTCTGTTCCATTGCCATTTTCAAACTTGTAGTATTTTTCTGCCAAGCGACTTTCTTCCACTTCGCCTTTTCCTGTGTTTTCTAAAGCTTGAAGTCTGTGGCCATTGATGGGTCTGGTAAAAAATAATAATAATAATACAATAATTATTTAAGAATAAACTGACGCACGGCCATTGAACTGCGCACGCCCGACGTGGTCTGGCGTCATCCAAATATGACCTGACGTGTTGGCAGTTATCGTTGGAATAAACAAATCACATAGAAAACAATAGATACAGGGCTGGAACTAGATGACGTAAATATGGCATTTTTTGTAACCGCGTTTTTTAGTGCGCGTGAGCTAAAAGTGACCCACTGTGCATGCTCGGAAAGTGCTCGAAAAATATAGCCATGCGAAGTTGTCGAATTTGGCATATTTTTGTATTACGGCCGGAAGAATTAGTGACAGGGGCGTTACACAATCCGTGCGTAATACAGTATACAAAATATGCCAACTTCGCGTGGCTATATTTTCCGCATTTTACAAATTTTCACAGCCAAACTTTGCATTTGCACTAATTTAAGTACGTTCTTCTAGCTGTGGTGATTTATTTTCTTCTTATTACTTCGATAAAAAGTTAGTCTAAAATGCAAGTTGTCCATTGAGGCTTACACGGGCACTTAAGATAAATTGCAGGATTGTTTATTAAATTTAATACGTAAACTAGAAAAGTAGGTACACTAGTTCCAGGTCTGTATCTGTATGTTTAGTTACTCTGTATAAAGAAATTGATTTCACTGGGGTTGCCCTTCTTTACAAGATTTCTCGTCATATCGTTGTGAAGATCAAAACGGCAGGCGAATCCCCAACAGGGGTGAAGACTTGCTTGCTGAGTCTAACCCACAAAATGCAAGTTTATTGCAAAATGGATTTTTTCTAAAAACTAAAACCTTAAATATAAGTTCTTTCATCATGCCCTTGTGGCTGTTAGAGTTAAACAATTCAATCTGTTGTGGCACAAAATAATTTCAGTAAAGAATTGTTGTATAGCGCCCTGGTTAAAGTCAGTTCATCGTCCTGTGTGCCTTTTCGGAAATCCTGTATTGTAGTCAAAATCAAAAGTTCGTCTATATAAAGGGTGAATTATCTACATTGTTACCTTAATCATAAGTATTACATCCGCTAAATTTGATTGCAACTTGATGTTGCTTCTTCAATAGCTGCACATTCCTCTAACGCCAGTTTCACAGCCACGTTATCTGGTTCACTCTCCAGTACCGTCTTTAATATTTCCATTGCCTTTCTTTCGTTTCCAGTCTCTTTGTACGCATACGCAAGTAAGGAACGACTAATAAGGTAATATGGTGTAGACGATATATTCTCGACATATTCCTCCATTTGCAGCGCAGATTCTTGAGCTTTCTCAATCTTACCACATTGAAAATACGCCAGCGCAATAAGATAGTAAATGTGGACCTTCAGTTGCACACAAACTTTCCCTCTTGCTTTAATTTCTCTCGCCATGTGAACGCCAAACAAAGGTATGCCGACTTGGCAGTAAGCTATGGAAGAGTTTGTTTCAATGTCAAGCAACTGCTCGAAGTGGGAAATGGCTTCGGCAAATTGTTCAGTTCGGAGAAGAAATGAGGCAAAGGTGGTCTGAACGAATGACGTCATTTTTACGTTTTTACTGACCAGGTTCTGGAAACACTCTTGAGCTTTGTCCATCCACTTCTGGTAGATCGTCTGATCTTCCTTACCATTTGTCAAAGCTTTTGTTTGATAAAGAGCCGTCAGAATTGCCACAGAGTCTTGGTAGGTGTCGTCACTAAGACCCATGGCCAAGACTAGACAATGCTGGTAGCAGGCTATTGCATCATCAATCTTATCTTGGTGTTCCAGCATCACCGACCCCAGTGCCAGGTAAACGTATCTTGATTCCGGAAATGAGAGGTGAGAAATAATAGCATGTTGTTCATCAAATGATTTATCAAGAACCCCTTCACACCTATCCATCAACAGAAGAAACTCACGGTAATAAGAAATAGATTCATCACCTCTCCCCATCATAACCAATGCATCTGCTATAAAACGCAAACTCGAAAGCTTCCTAGTTGGATCCAACTCGTAGTACAATTTTGCCAAATTTTCAGGTGACAGTGTAAATTCTGAATCGGGAAATGATAACTTCATGCGATCTTTAACAAGCGACAGTAAATATTTCTGGCAGAAGCCAATAAGATGTGAAAGACAGGATGTTGTGTAGATTGCACTGGGAGGCAAATCTTCGCCATTCTTTAACAGTGTGTCTAGCGCTTTGCATGCTTCTCTTCCATTTCCAAGTTGTACATACGCGCAAACTAGTGTTGTATACGCCAAGTTTCCCATCTTTGTAAGAAGTTCACCGTCAGATTCAATGTAGTTTTTAACATCTGATCCATAAAGAACTCGTTCTGAAAATGAACAAATGACGGTTGTTGACCACAGCTTGTCGTCTGCTTCAATTGCTTTATTCACCACGACAATGGCTTCTTCAAAGCGCCCTTTGTCACACAAAAAGTTGGCATACATGATATTTTTATGAATACTACTCTTTTCTGTTCCATTGCCATTTTCAAACTTGTAGTATTTTTCTGCCAAGCGACTTTCTTCCACTTCGCCTTTTCCTGTGTTTTCTAAAGCTTGAAGTCTGTGGACATTGGCAAGGTGCAGCATCATTTCATTCCGAGCGTTCACTTGATCTGTAGCGTCTGAGATCAGGTTTTGGACGACCTCTAATCCAGCATTATAAGCATGAGTGGCTTCCCAAGTCCGTCCTCCGTCAACAAAGTGATTACCCAGATTTCGGAAAAAATTCAACAGTGGAAATGGATTGTCGTTTACCTTTAGGTATTCATCCCTACATAACTCCAGGGTCTGCTGGAACAGGCTCTGTGATTCTTGTGCGGATGACGAGGCTGCATTGGTTGCCGTAATTGCATCCAACAATGGGATGATCTCGTCCAACGGTATAATGGAACCGGTAAAATCTGGAACGAAAAAGCCAGCCAAAGATTTTTTTAAATGAATCACTGCATTCTCAGTTTCACCAATGATCACTAAAAGCTGACCTATCCAGGAACGGCAATGACGACGGACGCGCTGGATCTCTTCAACATCTGATTTCCTACATTCTCTGGTGTTTGTATTAAATATGTTCACGTTAAATGAGTTTTCAAGACTTTTTGCTCTCTGTCGTGCGTTCATTCGTTCTTCTTCTGATTTTGCAAGGTGGAAGGAAATACATTCTCTTATAACCGAAATTACGAAACAAAATTTACATTGTTTCAGAATGGCAAAAAATTCATCATCTTCCATCCCAGTATCAGCCTTAGGTCTGAAATAGTCGACCTCGCCTAATATAGTATAGAACCTCTCATAGCAATGTTTGAGATGAACGCGTTCATCGGGTAAAGACGAACGCGTGATTAGCAGAAACGCACATTTCATAGTTAAATAAAGCAATTCAAGGTTTTCTTCTGACAATGCAGATGTCGTCTGTTCAGGTTCAATCCCCAAACCTTCCTCGCATGCGCGTAATGCATTTTCCAAATCATTACAAAGCACTCGACTTTTGGCTAGACCAATTAAACTCTCCATGTAAACGACTTTATGGTTGAGTTTAGATGAATGTACTGATCGATAAAAATCTGCTGCTTTTTTGAAGTTGATCGCTGCCATTCTGTAACTTTGCAAGTGCAGTAGACAATCTCCAACCAATTTGGAAATTTTTGCCTCACATTCGGGAACCAAAGCCTGGCTGGAAGCTAGTTCCAAAAAACAATCATCTTGTGTATGTCCTTCTTATTTCTAGCGTTTTCTGCTTCTTTAATAAAGAAATTGACGCAGGAGCGCGTTCCTGACAACGATTCTATCAAAGAAATAAAAGTGTTCTCCTTTGTTCCAGAGTAACTCTGATTACTGTTACGCAGAATAGATCTTGCCAACAAGCAGGCCTTATGGTATTCTGCTTTAAGGGGATATTTTATTCTTTTATTCTGCGCGTTTGTACAGTATTCTGTGTCCTGGTTCCCCCCTTGCTCATCGCGTAAGAGTCTTGAGCATTGAGAAATTTGTTTCTTCGTTTCTTCTGACAAAAACCTACAGTTCTTGTTTTCAAATTCTGAATCATCAAAAGCGTTGCAACAGTTGAAAACTATTTCCTTGACACTTATTTTCGCGCCATCACGAATAAATGGAAGCATTTTTTTGCCGAAATATATCAATTTCTCTGTCGTAACAGCCTTGTTTTGTATTTTCCTTTGCTTCACGAATTCCAAAGTCAGATTTGTCAAATTGCACCATTTTACACCAGAGTCTCCAATTTGGCGATCCTTGCTTTCTTTGGCATTCGCAAAAATGTCAAAGGCAATGTGATTCAATTCTTCGGCTTTTTCGTAATCGTGTAAATAGACACATAAATATGCCATGCGTACAAAGCAGTTGGCTTTATCCACACTCGTAGTTGGCTCTTCTCTCTTCTGCTCATGTTGTTCCCAGATTTCGAGAACATCCTGTTTGATGGTTTCCAGCTCACCCCTGCACGCGTCGTCTATAGTTGCAAGCAAAAGGTCACGCGTGCGAAAAATTCTTCCAATATGCGAGTGAAATGGATCTGAAACATGTATTTTAAGCTCTATTTTAAGTGAGCGGCGAAAGAATTCCAGGGCTTCGTCGTAATGATCTTCTTCAAGTTTGATCACACCTTCAGTGAAAAGCAAATCCGATAATTGCTCGTTGAGGTTTTCCAAAACTTGCAAAGTTTCTTCGTTTAACTCCGTCATGTTCATTAATAGCGCCAAGAGCTCCCCACTTTTTAACACGTCGAAAGGCATAAACTTCTTTACCAGATGAATAACCAGATCACCGACACTGCGGCTAAACCTGGCTGTCACTAAATATTGTTGCAACAAATCATAGGCTTGATCATAATGCTTTCGTTGGTCATTTTTCACTTTTTCCTTTGTTATTGAACTCTCCTCAGCCCCTTTCAACGAGTTGACTTTTTCAAGGAGATCCCCCAGTTTAACGTGTAGATCAATTTCACGTCGTAACTCCATTTCCGAGTTTAACGCAGATTTTTCGCACAATTCGAGGGCTTTCGTCAGGTACATCTCGGCTCGGTTGTAGTCTTCAAGACTTTCCCACCTCTCTGCGATTTCGTTTAGGAAATCAAATTTTCCATCGTTGTCGTTCTGATCGGAAAGATATTTTGCAGCCTCTTCCAGATAGCTGACGGCTTCAGAAGACTTGTTGTTCTTAATCACAATCTTGGAGAGAATTAACAGTGTTGATACGATGGCGAATTCAGGGTGACTTTCTCTCTGAATTTTTATGATTTCCTTAAAATGCTGTTCTGCCTCTATTGTGAAGTCATGATCCCAACATAACTTTCCGAGCAATTCCAGATAATAGATTTTGAATTCGTTTTGAGTTTCTTCGAGTCCTCGATAAAGTAATAGTTTCGCCTCGTGAATTTTACCCGACCGACTGTACGTGTATGCAACGTAAGATGTCATTGCTAGTTTGCTCGGTTCCACTCCTTCAGCATTTTTTAGAATTTCGTTCGCGTTTCTTAAACATTCCATTGCCATTTCATTTTCTCCCGCCCATGACCAAATTAATGCTATTTGGCATAAAGAAGCACAATTTTCTCTTGGTTCAGATCTCACGCCTGAACCTTTATCCAAAAAGAAATCTTCCATGGCATACGATATCGCCTTTTCGTAATCCCCCCTGGCGGCATAGGACATTGCCAATCTCCGGTAGATTCCACTTCTCCCCAGCGTGAAATTTTCGTTTGCTTCGGAAAAAGGAAGGAGTTTAATCGATCTTTCAAGATAGAAGATGCTCTCCTCCAGCTTACCTAAATCAATACACAAATTTCCAAGCAACATCGATGTTATGGCGTAATGTAAGTTGGGATTATTACCAAAAATGGTTTGCCCCATTGTAAAAGCGCGTTGCAGACATTTGTATGCCTCGCCTTTTTTCATGAGGAGAATGAGTAAATCGGAAAGACAGTTTAAAATAATAATCGTTTGGACACTTATTCCCATGTGCTTTATTGCGGAGAAAAATTTCTTTCATTTCAGTTCCTTCTTTAACTAAATTGTTATAATCTTTATATTTGAAAGAGCGCCCTGTGCCATGTATAATATACTTCGTGAAGTCATCCCATTCATTATAATCTTCTTTGGTCGGACTGAGCATGGTTTCAATTTCCTGCAGTCGCATCTGTATGCTAATATTTCCCGGGTCATCTTGAAGTGCACGCTTGTAGCATTTTGACGCGGCGTTGTAATTTAGGAGACGACAATAAATGTGGCCTTTCATGGCATCAGAGAAACTGAAGAACATTCTTTGTGCTAAATCGTCTGGGGAGTTCTTAGCGTCATTACACAACCCATGCAATGATTCAAACAGTGGAGTGGACACATAGAAAAAATGAAACAACTCTTTTTCTCCTGGAATATGGTAAGCAGATGTAGCGTTCTCTGCTTTTCCTTTTATTGCCTCTTCTTGTTTCCCAGCAGAAAGATAAGTACTCAACCTCATTTTCAGGGCAATTGCTACAGCACTAGCTACGTTATCTCTGGCACTTGCACTGATCACATTTCTCTCACACAACTTGTCCAGAGCTTCGAAAGATCCTTTACCCTCGATTCCAAAGACATTCAATAGAGCTACAACCACGCGATCAGTTAAACGATATATTTCTTTCTTTACATCAAACAATTTCCCATCGTAAACTGACAACATTACCAAGGCCTCAGGTTCAAGAACTTACATACCCCTCGTATTCTAAAGTTAGGCCCAATAGACGTGGTTCATATCTGGTTATGTCCTCTCGGAGCGTGCGCAGTCCTCGGCAAGTTCCTCTTGTCGGTTTGGTATTTAAGCTATCGTGAGCACAGCCATTCAAGTCACATGGTTCACGCAAGATCTTTTCAAGTCCCATGTTGTATTCATCGAGTAAAGCATGTCTGTTTTCTTCGAGTGGCGCAACATTCAAAAGGATTTCACCTAATAATGATATAATAACATAAAATATAAAGTTTATAAAATTAAATCTCTATTTTGTACTGTTCACAACGGCAGAAGCAAGAAGTCTGGGTTTATACGGTGGCGGCGTTCATTATAACATATTGCAGTTACTAGAAATACATGCATGCAGCAACCCCTCGCCTCGGTTGAACGAAATCAGTTAAGCAGAGGGATGGTAACATGATTGTTAGAAAATTTATGTGGGTTGGGGGTTTTGGAGAGTACATGGTATAGAGAGAAAAAGAAATTGAGAAAAGTATGGAAATATTTTTCTGTACGTGGAACACTGTAGTCATAGCAACTCGCAACGGCCGTATATTTTTAAAGAATCCAAGTTTACGTTTTAATACCCTCATATTTTTGTGAAAAAATGGCAAAATACGACAAGATTTCTACCTTTTTCTGGAAGTTAAATCACTCATCTATAGTCAGTGTTATGGTAAATTGTTTTAATTATTAATTACCATGAAATATAACATCAGACGTCTCATACAACTTCCGAAGTTTTATGTTACGCTTCGACCGGTTTTTGTCATTATGAAAACGGAGTTTATAAATGAATTTATAATGTCGTTTATCACATAACACATTCAGATTTATAGTGAAATACATTTGAGAATATTAAAGTTGTGTTTACCACAAGAGAATTACTTTTTAAAGCTGTGCCGGATGAAATATTATCAAGTGTAAAAAACTAAAATCTTCCGACTTCATTATACACGGTGAATTCGGTTGAAACTCGAAAATTTGGTCTTGTTATTTGTTAAAACGTGAAAAGTCCTGACCACATTCGAGTTTTCCCCTAATTTGAATAAAAATACATATATTCCATATATATGAAAACATAAATTTAAAAATTTCATCAAAATTTTGCAAAATGACAATTAATCACTGACGTTTAAAAATACAAATTTTTGTCTCGCCCAATCAAGAGCTTAGTAGTTCACACTGGCGCATGCGCATAACGTAGAAGACCGTCCATGGCGTGAGGTCCATTGCATAATGGCGGACGACTTTGATTTCGCATTTGCACATCGTGGGTGTAAATATCCGAGCGGAATTAGTACCCTCGCACGGTGCTCCGCACCGGCTCGGGGATTAAGTTGCTTTTTACGGCAATGAATGAAATGAACCCTACCGAGACGAGGATCCTTATTGTACCAAACGTTGCTCTGAAAGTTTGCCATTTCAGTGGGGCTGTGAATGAGCTCAAAATCTTTTGTGTTGCCCAAAGGAGTCTTGCTTGCCTGATCAAGAAGGCCATCGAAGGAAATTCCTTTTGGAGTTACATCATCATAAAACCATTCGAATTCTCCTTTTAAAACTTTAATATCCATGCAAGGTAGGATGGTTTCTCCAAGGTTGATAATCTGCAAATGATTGAAGATCAAAGAAAAACTGTTGACCTCATGGCTTTTATGATTAAGAAATACAGAACATTTTCCGTCTTTCTATACAGTTACAGAAACAGGCTTGGGAATTTAGGAGAACGAGCCCTTAGGGCGAGTTTTTTCTCGTTATTCCGAGTCTTCCAAACTCCCACAAGTGCCTTTCTATGAAACACAGGAAACACACTATTCTTCAAAAAATTTTGTAAACTTTTCAATCCAAATAAAATGTGGAATTAAATAAGAGTGTATAAACACTGGGACAAGATTATCAGATGAACACAGTTACAGCAGCAAAAGAGAAATAACTCGTAGCTTATAATCTTTGAAGTGGTTGGTGTCAATTTTGATCATAGGCAACTCAAATTTGCGTGATACTTCTATATAATGGGAGAAATTCTGATTGTTCCGTATTATTTTGCTGTAAGAATTGCATTCTCTTTGCATAACTTTGAGCTTGGCATGTCGACTTGCAAAGACATAACCCCATATGAAATATCACTTTAACTTCAAAAAGAGTTCTTAAGGGTGTAGCTTTCGACTTATTTGAGTAATTTCATAATATTTACTTAGATCTGGGTAGCTCTGAAAAAATTATTTGCAATCTGAGTTCATTGATTGCTGCATTGAAGTTCTAAGCTTCGCTGCAGGCTGTCATTTTTGAATAAACCACAATTTTCATGGGTTTTTGCGAAAAAAACACGATTGTATATTAAGGGGCCGATTAAATTGTCCGGGCTAGCTCGGTTTGCCGGGCTGAAATTTAGCAAACGATTACATGAGTTCGATACTTTTGCGCAAATGGCGTTTGGCGGGAAACTTTTAACTGTAGGGATGTCTTTAAGCCTAGTGATTTCAATACCTGAGTTTTAACCTTATTGTATTTTATTCTTATGCTGTACTAGAAACACAACAACGATATGTTGGGCTAGCCCGTTTATGCGGGCGCTAGCCCGGTCCACGTAATCGGCCCTAAGTAGGGATAAAATAGTACAGCAAGCGACAATAATTAATTTTCTCTCTCATTCAATTCTGCATGTTCATGACCATTAGCGTCGGAATCTGATATTTTACCTGTAAATGAACAAGATTGTCAAATGACGAAAGAATGGCTTAGCTTGTTTGTCATCAGAGCTGGTTAGTATAGCCCACTCCAGATCAGAATATGGCGTCATCTCATCTCTCGCTAATGATCCAAGTAGAATTACTTCGTATTCGCATGGCGGTTCACCCAGAACTTCTAAACACTCTTGAATGATTTCTGCAAAGAACTGTTTCATTTTTGATGCAATCTTTTTGTATAGATCTCTTACCTCCGCGGCTTGCTTGATAAATATTTTTCGATGTTCTTCCTCATTGCCAGTTTCAGCATCGTATTTGACATTTATAACTCCAAGTTCTCTCCTAGACTCCTCTCGTAACTGTTTTAAGGCGGCTTTCTTAGTTTCATTATTGAATCTACAGCGTTGGTTGTTTCCTTCAGTCGCTGTGATTAGACGTTCTTGAATATTTGAGATTTTTCCTGGTAAAACACTCTCATGAGTCGTCGCAAATTCACTTTCGACAGTACTTTTATTAAAACAATTTCTTACGAAGTTGTAAAGCGATGCAGCCTGCAGTAAGAATTTTTGTCTTTGAAGTAACTCCACGGTTTCGTCTGATGCTTTCTCTCGAAGGACTTCAGCTAAATGATAATAAGGTTCTGGGTTTCTCTCTTTTGATGCATCTTCATATTTCTCTTTTCGTATTGCTCTTCCAGCATATTGTTCTGCAATATTTATCTCTCCGTTCTTCAATGCTCGTTTTGATATCTCCAAGAGCTGCTTAGAACTAAACTGGAAAATAAACCTTACGATGAAGGGAACATACAAGTATATCAGACGAGTGTTCGGTGGGTCACAGTTATTACATCATAGCTAGCTCCTGTGCACATAGTTCCATTACTAAGGATGTATATTTTTTAGATGTTAGCTATTTTTTTGTATAAAAAATTTTAAGGATTACTTTATTACTTTAATAGCTATAGGCTAAATTATAAGTGTAATGAGGAAAATATTTTCAAAAAATTAACTGAAGCATACTAAGAAAGCAATTAGATACGTAGGAAAACGCAGTGAATAAACATTACATATCGAACCTCAGTCTTTTCACAAAGCCGGCACTGCCAATAAGAACTTTCAAATAGTATCACCTAATTAGCGAAGAACATATAAGGACATGGGCGTCAATTGAACGTTAATTGAGGGGGCCATATTCATATAATTATTCTGTTGTGCCAGGCTGATTTCCATTGAAAATGAAATTGTTTTCAAAAAAAATTATCCAGGGATAGCAGAATATATGAATATATTGTCCTGTTCAATTAACGCTCGATTGACGCCATTTGATATGGATAACTTTATAATTTGTTGAAATGTTATGATGGAAGTTTCCACCAATCAAATGCACGAGTTATTAATCTCATTATATCTTAATTTGCAATTATATACTTATGATGCCCTAGTTATAACTGCGTTGTTACAACATCTGAATTTGGGGGTGTCCCCTCTGAATTTGGGGGTGTGGCCGGGGATGGCTTCTAGCCAGTTATCTCTGAAAACGCCCTTTATTACTCGAATTTTCCTTTTTTTTCATTAGAAGCTTTTTAGCTTCCAACGCTTGTTTCTGCTATAAAACTGATGAAACCTCCTTTTTTAACCCCACCGCCTACCGATGATAAAAATCCATAATTATACAGACTTGTTAATGACGATTAATGCCGTAAAATACACAATAGCTATCTGATGTTACGCCTTATGCGAAAAAGTATTAATTTAATTATAGAAAAAGCAACGCAGTCCTTGTTGTAAAAAGCCATTAATATTTCGGTACCTCTGGAATATGATCTTTCTTTTTCCTTGATTTTTCAGTGTATCAAGCATATGATGAAAGCCTATTAAGTTTAATATAATCAGTTGTTTAAACCCTTTTGCGATTGTAAATTATTTTATGAAAGCAATGGTTTAATTATTAATGATTTACCTTCTGTAGTGGAGTGTAAGAAATATTTATCTCCATATCTCATTTGCAGCAATCCTGCTAAACCTATAAATTATAGATACACACAATAATCAAATTTTCGCAGGATCGACTCTTGATGTGCCTTTATTTGAATTTGAATTTGAATTTAATAAATTCGCCAATGAAATATAAAAAATGGCAGATGAAGGATACAGAACCATGGTCCCAATTGACATCCTACACTATAACATCCAGTTGCCAAATTTACAGGATCTCTCATTCAGTTTCTGTATTTTAAGTTAATGGTAGCCATGAACAGGGATGTAGCCAGACCTTAAAGAGGGGAAGAGGTGGCGGTAGCCGTGAGGCTAGAATTTCAGCTTGTTTTGCATGACAACATCAGTCAACACGGAGTTTCAGCCCGGAATGAATAAAACTACCATACTCAAAGTACTCAAAGTAGAAATAAATCTTCCTAATTTAAATTATTTCATTTCAAAGTAAGTTTATAATAACAATAAATTTTTCAGTTTGGGGGGGAGAGTAGCTACTACGACGCTACCACAACTCTTCCCCCGGCTACGTCCCTGGCCATGAATGAGGCCCTGTCTATACACGATGCCGGAAGAATTTGGAAACGCAAAAATATTTATCCGATAAAATATTTTTCCTCGTCCACACGTATATAAACACAAAAACGACCCGAAAACGCTAAAGTTGTTTGATCCCGCAATACACCTTCATGTTTTCCACCCGCGTGTCACAGGTTTGATGTCGAATTCAAAGCAAAAATCTACCAAATCCAAAGTAAAAAACAAGAATGAGGACCTTTTTTGGGCAGACGACAAGCCCAAACTCATAAATATTGTTGTTGAGTATCTATTAAATGCATGTCGTGTATAAGAAATTGTGTATAACCATACCAGGGGCGTAACTAGAACGATAATGGGGGGGGGTGAATATTCATATATTTAGTCCTGCCCGACAGATTTCTATTGTAAGCTATTGCAATTACAAAAGAAATCCGTAGGGCAGAACTGGATATATGAATATTCACCCACCCAATTATCGTTCTAGTTACGCCACTGAACCATACTCCGGCATTTTGGACATTTTCTGTGGTAAAACACTTCCGCAAATGCTACAAGAATTGCCGAAGATTTTATCACCATGAAAATAACCTAAATAAGGCTTATTTGAGACTAATACAGTAATATAAAGTTGAGCATAAGCCACCAGACTTGAAACAAACCTCATTATAAATTAATATGAAAACGACTTGATACGTGACGTCATCGTTTTCAAATTTATCCGGCAAAGCCGTCCACACGTATCCGCTTAGCCGTCGTTTTGAAATTCTTCCACTCTGGAGAGCGTTTTCAGATTCTTTCGTTTTCAATGGGCGAAAACGCCGGATACGTGTGGACGATACGCGTAAGAATATTCTTGCGTTTTCAAATTTTTCCGGCATCGTGTGGACGGAGTCTGAATGATTGAACATAACATTTAATGAGAATAACAACAAGTGCTTCACAAATAATGATATACAGAGGGTTCCTCAAAAGCGCGGAGCATGCAAATATCCACAGACCCCGGAAATGGGGAGAAAGCTGCGTTGACTACATGTACAGCAGAGGCAACTGGAAGTGGGGTGAAGATGCTTTTCTAATTTGTATAGGGCTGCACTGCAATTTGTTGAAAAATTGCTTCAGATTACGTTGAAAATGCAGCAAAGGAGCCTCAAGAAAACCCAAAACGCGAATTTAAGTTCATCTAGCGACGCCTTCTTGATTTCGAATTTTGCGTGACATAAAAAGCTTGCTGTCGTGATTTCGCAAACTTTCAATTGTTGCCGCTTTTCGCAACTGTACCTCTTCCTGCTACGTTTGTAAATTCTGATAGCACTACAACATAATTTCATACCATTGCTATAACCTGCATGACTTGGGCCAGGTTCATCCATAATGAATTGCTTGGTCTCTTTTCTAAATGAAAATAAAATGAAATATGAGCTTATTATAAGATAGGGACGAAAGTTTTGGAGGGCAAGGGGATGAAACCTGCAAGTTACGAATACAAAATTCGAGATTCAATTTAAAATTTAAGCAATTTTAGCAAAAAAGTGCCCAAAGTTTGGTAAAATTCGATACAACTTTGCCCATGCAGGATTTCCAAGATTCCCCATACTTTTGCCAAAGATTTAAAAAATTCTGCCACGTAAATAAAGTTTTCATAATATACATTAGAAATAGTAGATAATAAAGCTATACTGCATACGTAGACAGAATATTCATACCTGCGTTAAAGAAATTTGTCTTGGAGTTGAACCTAAAAGAATTGTATTTGGTTCAGCATAAGTAAAATAGCTAAACTTTTATTCTTATGGTGAACCTCAACCACCAGCTGTCAGGCCTGAAGAACGTTTTCTCACTGGTACAGCAAAGATAGGAGAGACGTACCGTAAGAACTATTCTTTGCCTGGTTTCCATTTAGTCGTAATTGTCATGAACATGTAAAAATGGTTTATGTGATACAATACTTCTATTTGTGTGCCGTCAACATTGTATGATTTCAATACAAGAAGATAAAACAGAAAGAAAAACTTACAACCGGACTATTTCTTTTCATTGAAAATAAATTGCGCGATTGAAACGTCTGGCCACATCTATATATTTTCGAAAACCCGATGACTTCATCGAAACCGCCGTTTACATATAAAGAAATCGACTACTTTGAACTATTTAACGTCCGCAATGGTTTCCGAGGGATCCATATCGAAGTTGCAAGGTCCTCAGAAACAAGGTCTTTTATAGATGAGGCTTGAGTATTAATATTTAATATAATTCAAAGGCTTGGCTAAGTACGGAAGCCCAACGATTTTAGATTGTTACGTTTTTGCAATTTCGATCTTTCATTTCACATTTTTACATTTCAAAGTTTTAATTTCCTTTTTTTCATTTTCAAACTCTTATTTACACTTTTGCATTTTCGATTTTAATGAGTGCGGTGACAAGTACGTAAAATATTTGATATCCTCCAAGTGGTCTTGAAAAATTGCCAACTCGTGGCCCTGCTCTTAATCACAACAATGATAATTAGACTACATTTATCATAATTACGGAATAATGCATGTGAATTATCATAATTCATGCAGGTAGGTATGAACTGTAAAAGCTGGATATGTGAAAGATATAGTGCCTGCTCTTGTTAGATTCAATTTATTGGATTTTTTTTTCGTTACTGGAAATTTAATTTATGGCATTTAACAATTTATACCTTCCTGCATTATGATACCGTAAATGTTCTCTAATAGTCAGGTTGTTATCATTTTCAATCTCGTCAGAAATAACACTAGGTATACTAGGCCACGCGTTGGCCATTTTTCCAGACTACAGGAAGCAATTAAGGCATTTCCGTACTTGTCACCGCACTCATTAAAATCGAAATTGTAAACTGATGTGAAATAAAAGTTTGAAAATGAAAAAAGGAAATTAAAGTTTTGAAATGTAAAAATAGCCTAAAATTTTGTACAAAAAATTGTATCATCAGTGTTTCTCAATATTTTCAAATATTAAATTGACAACTCTTTTCCAATAGACTTTAAACTCTTGAGGCAAGCATAACTTGTATCATGGAACGTGTAAAAAAACGAATTCCAATGAAAAAATTAAGCCTACCCGTACCCGTATACCAAAACCGGGGTATCTTAATCTTTCTAATTAATGATATATTATCACAAAATATTGAATGATATGTTTCAAATTTGAACCTTACAGACATACACCTCCTAGCTGCTTTTAGGCTATTAACTATAGACGACTAGGAATAAGCATCCGAGTTTGATCGTTTCTACCACTATAGGCTATATTATGCTATAGAAGAATAGTTAGTCTATTCGATAGAATACACTATTATGGCGAACGTTATAAATTAATAGTCCCTTTCTGAATAAATTTAGTTGGAGAGTCGAATACCACTGCCTCGTAATCACTGCATCTTGGCTTTTGCAGAGTTTATCCGCTTAAATTATTCCTCACTTGACGAGCCTTCCTCATCGTCACATTCAAATAAACGATATTGGCTTTCTAAAATCTACGACGTTCTCGAAAACGGTTAGATTAAAACAAACGGATAAAAATTGTGCTATTGCATGTACA